CGGTCGCTGGAGGCGGATCCGGCGGCGTTCGCGGACGAGGAGGAAGGCGGCGAGGAGGGCGTGCTGAGGGAAGAGGGAGAGTACGTGCCGCGCAGGGTCGGCGGCGTGGAGAGGTTACTGATGAAGCTTGACCTGGCCGGGTGGTTTGGGGAGAAGAAGGACGATTTCGGATTCGTGTTTAGCGAACATTGATCAAGCAAAGCGATGATGTTATGATTGCTGTGGCGCTCCTCTTCCCGTTACACTTGCCGCCCCGTTCCTGCTGAAAGTGCACAGCTCAGGCGGAAAGAGAAGCATCACGCGGAGAAGGCTCTCCCTACATACTTGGCGCCAGAAAGCCTTCGAAGTGCCCCTCATGAAAGAGCAAGATTTCGACGCAAGCACACTCCGTCGTATCTTACATCCCGACTCTTCGCTCGGGGAACGTTCCTGTAGATAAAGGCCCACACGGGCTACGATTAGTCAAGATGGGTACATTATGGCAAGTCGAGTTGCCCTCCTACGTGCATCTCTCGGGAAGGAGAGGGGTGGTGGGGAAGTGCAGACGTTGTTCGTCCAGTTTCGCCTGCGGCGTGCGAGATGACCGGAGCGCCCCCCCCTTTCAGTGCGAAGCGAGCGAAAGGGAAAAAAAGGCCGAAGACGACGCCGGCGGGACGGACACGGACCCGATGCGGCCGGATAGGGACGTCATGGGGTTGGTCATGCGCCAGAGCGGAGCCGGTGGTGGCCCGGTCCGCAGGCGTGGACTATTGCTGCGAAGACGACTGGACATTTCCCAAACGGAAAAGAACAAAAGAAAAAAGAAGGAGAGAAATTGGCAGAGAAGGAAACAAAGAGACAAAGAGAGAAAAAGACGAGGGGGGATACTGCCCGAAGGGGGACGGGGGTTCCTGTTTGGCGCTTGGCAGTTCTGAGCAGCTACATCTCGCGATGGCGCGCGGGTGGTAACAACGTTGGTGCCGTCCCGCGGCAGCTGTCGGTCTAGGATGGCGGGGTTTCCCCCTCTCACCCAACGTTTGGGTCTAACAGAGCTGCATATTCGGGGTTCACGGTAAAGTGTGGACGAAAAAAGGGGCTCCTTCTTGTATGGTTACTCCCGCCCAAGTAATGGGTGATTCAGGGAAAATAGCATCAGGACATGATGCATACTGTTTTCATTCATGACAGTCTCGTCCTGTGGGACAAGATTCAAACTATCGTATCATATCGTTCAAGCTCTTACTTCGGTTCCAGATCCCAATGCACCGGAATGTACGCCTGCTGGAATGCATCCTCCCAAAGAAAATAGACAGAGATGTACACAAGTGGAAGGTAAAGAGAAAGAAAATAAGGGGGAAAAAAAAAATCATCCGCTCCATGTCTGTTAAAGCGGGAAGGATTCCATGGTATCCTAGCCCATCATATCCTATTGCTGTGTATCGACTGTGTGTGCGTGTGTATGCGATTTATCTGCAGTAGCGCAATTTGCTGTCCATCATAGGCGGTCTCCTTTTTGTTAGTTTTTTTTTTGGAGATGTGAAGTATCTGGTATCCGGAAGAAGCTAGTTCTGCTTTTGACGAGCCAAGGGAATAAGAGTCGTGATAATACTGGAAATTTTTGATTGAGACGAAATTGCATGAGACTTTCTGAGACTGATTTTCGCATTGCTTCAGTATGTCGCAATCGAGCGTTGTCGTAGCGGACTTGAAGTATGGTCCGAAGCGCGGCGAAGGAAGAGTTGCTGTAAAAACGCCCGAGGCCCAACGTACTCGACGTCGACCGTCCGGGACGTCAGAGGCACCGGAATGTGGTGAATCTTTTTCGTCTGCCAGCGGTGCTTGATGCAGTCATCGACGAGAGCCATGAGGCCCGTGGCAACAATCACGTCGGCGACGTCGGTGACGGCGTCAAGGACGCTGCGATCACTGATCCACATGTGGCAAGGGGGCACCCAGCCGCCGGCGCTCTCGTCCTCGACAATCTGGTTGGGCGAGCGCGTCTCGGGGACTATGTGGGCGACGGCATCGCTGGCGTTGTTGTTCCCGTCCTTGACAAGGTGGAAAGAGACAGCGCCGAGGTTCTTGTCCAGAACGCGCTTCCACTGGTACTTGTGACCCCACCATTCGAACTCGTAGCGCTTGTTGTTGGTGCCGCCACGGCGCGAGACGTCAACGCGTGCGTAGTTGGAGAACTCGAGCTTCATGGTGTTGCTGGGTATGCGGCGGGCCTTGGGCTTGGGCTCGAAGGAAGCGGACCGCCGGAAGTAACTCGCCGTCTCATCAGTGCTGTTACGGGAAGATGAGGCGCTGGACTGCGGGCGCTGCGAGGTTACTTCCTTTCCCTTGCCGGCGAGGAATGACCCGCTAGAATTCGTGCGCGGCAAAGGCCTCCTCATGGAAAGGGTCTTGATGGCGCTCGAAACCGACCGTTGCAGCGTTGGCCGTTGCTCGACGTCCTCTTCGACGTACTTGCGCTTCGAGTTGCAGACTTCGCGACCCGAATCGCGGCAGTATCTTCGAAGGGAGAACTCGCGCTTGCCGAGGTCATGCATACGCAAGTGGAAGAGCTGGATGTTGTAGGGACGGCGACCGGGGGCGACGGTGTCGACCCTCAAGTTCATGTTGCCGTCGGGGGTGAACTCGTCGTGGGAGATGGATAACCTGTTCATGGAGGGAAACAACTTTGCAAAGTCTTGGGGGTTTGAAGGGCGGACATCGGTTTCGATGATATCGCGGCAGTAGGCGGGCAAAGGAGGGATCTCCTGATGCGGGTCAAAGTCGTCCATCTCGATGTCGCGCATCAGCTCGAGCTCGTCCTCGTCATCGGAGGCTAAGCTGGAGTCGAAGGTGTCGACGGAAGATCGTAGACAATTGCTCGTGGAAGGGGATACGTCTTCCTCGTAAACAGGCTGGAACTTATGGGAGACGGTCCTAGCTTCCTTGACTGATGCCTCGGTGCTTGCGTAATAGGAAGTGGGTGTTGTGCTTTGAGATTCATACGTCTCGAACGAGTCGCAGGACTCATTGCTCCTCCGGGAGCCGTGACTACATGTCGAGCTCTGGGAGCTATTTTTTCGATATGAATGAGACATTGTGAATGTGTGTGTGTGTGTGCGTGGTGGTGGTGATGGTAGTGTATAAAGTCAGTCGGAAGGTGGTTTGATAGTTAGAGGGTGACGGTCTGTGGTGGTGTATGAGTATGCCGAGACCATCGAGGGAGGGAACAAGGCTTCATATATCCCAAGTGAGTAAAACAAGCCCGAGAAAGAGGCGTGTCGGGTCAGGCTAAGGGATCTTTAGGGACCAGTGAGCGTGTGAAGTATTGTGCAGTTGGTGAACGAGTAGGTAGGCAAGGCAATGGTATGTGTTTGACCTTGCGACCGGGGTCTTGGTTTCTGGTGAGAAGCTGAGGCGAAGGGGACGGTTGGATGGAGCAGGGGTATGTGAGTGAGTCGTCGGCGCGCGTGTGCGTGTGATTCGGGGCGGTTCTCCGTAATGGAAAGTTGAGATGTGAGGATGATTATGAAATGAGTAGGTGTTGAATAGGGTGTGCTTGGGGGGAAAGAATATAACGATCGGGCAGAGAGAGAAGGCAGCCCGAGGAAACAAAAACGCAGAACGGTAAGGGTAATAAGTGATGATGGAGGGGAGGGGGGAGCCGGGGGGGTGCCGTGGGAGGAGGAGGGAGGTGGTTTGCTTCTCGACAGAGGGTGGGCAGGCAGACAGGGGACGGCCTGTACAGTCGGGGGCGTCGGATCTCAGTTGTCGAGCTGTTGGCCTGATGCGACACCACCCGGTTGGAATTGGAACAACAGGCCCCGGTCCGTTTCCCACCCTTCCATTGCCCTTCTTCCCCTTCCTGGCCCCTCAGTGCCTTGCGGTCTAGGGTAGGTAGGTACTTGGGTAGTGTGTCACTGCCGCTGCTGCGTGTCGGTACGTGGGTACACTGTAGTAAGCCACCCAAGCAAAGTATGTAACACTTGGGGTGTGGGCTCTGGGGCCCGTCTCCATGTCTCTCTCGCCCGCTAAGGATTGAACACGATATGATGCCGGATGGGGGTTTGGAGGCGGCAGCCGAGAGGAGAGAGAGAGACATCTACTAAGCGTGTCCGGACGGCTGCTACGAGAGGGACGAGTCGACAGAACGGGTGGAGGACGTAGCCACATCAGGAATGTGGATGCGTGGCCTACAAGACAGGTCGTGGACGGACTGGACAATACAATGCCATGGGCAAGTCACGCTCTCTCTGCTTCATCTTGAGTCAAAGCGTGGAGGGCAGGCTGGTTGACAGAGAGAGTGTACCCCCTGTCAAACACGGTATGGATGGACTGAACTTTCCTCCGAATGTGTATACGTCAACTACCACTACCTGGGATGGGAACAGGCAGAAGGGAAAAGGGAAAATGTCATGTTCGTCCAGTTTCGGCGAACCCCCAAATGGGTGATGTGTGGTACGCCGGTACGCCGGTTCACAGATACCTAATTATGTATTTTGGCAACGTACCTTCATGAAGTGGCACCACACGTCTCGCGGCTTAGCTTCCGGTGGCATGTTTCCTAGCGGCCTTGACCCTGTGCAGGCCTGGCCTGGAATCTGTTTCCTCACCCTTTGCTGTAGCATCCCCCCCCCCCCCCCCCCCCCCCCCCCCAAATCGTCCCGCTGGAACGGACAAAATGGATACCTGCTTGGAAGCCTATCCTTGTGCTTTAGTCGAGGTATCTCGTACTTTACGTAGGTACGATGGATGTATCCTTCCCAGGAAAACTCGGGCTGACTGTCTGCCAACCAATCTTTTTTCAAAAAAATTTCCTTTTTTTCTTCTTCTCTCTTTTTTTTTTTTTTTTCCTGTTCATACCCTTTTTTTTTTTTCTCCTACTCTTTGCTTCATTTTACTTTTCTAGTGAGAGCTTCAAAATCAAGCTTGCCAAAAGTAGATTATTCCAGCCCAACGATGACGAAAACTCTCTGGCCTGTCTCGAGCAAGAAGCTGGCGCCTCTCGTGGCTGAGCAGGAAGGGAAAAAAGAGAGAGAGAGAGAGAGAGAGACGGAGTAAAGTCAAGTCGCAGTCATGACTGCCTGCCTACCTGCACACACTATCGAACTCACAGAGTCCGAACCAGAACTCTGGCGGTTTTCGGATGGTCCTCCGATCCACTGGCTACCATCCCAGCAGTGACGGAAAAGACGTAAACCTGCCTGCTTGGCTAAGAAGCCGTTGGGAAATGCCCAATGACCAAATCATCCCGCAGCGATCGACGTTCTCGACCGTCTTCGACCCTCCATCCACTCCATTTTTGTTGCCCTATTCTCTCCCCGTTTGGTTGACGTATCAAGAATCGGCAATCCTCGCCGTTCTTGTCCTCTTTGCTCCGTTACCCTCCGCACTCGCTCGTGTACTATGTAGCCCACATACCTCGGCCCTCCCTCCTTCTTCGGGCTCCATGCCACCTTATCAAAGCCTCGATCTGCATCTAGAACATGCTCCCATCTTCCCCTCCTCCGTCTGCCTCATTCGCTGGCAACTCCGTTATCTTGCTTCACACGACTTGACTCTCTCTCTCTCTCTCTCTCTCTCTCTCTCTCTCTCTCGTCTTACAACCACCCGTTGCACATTCCGTCAAACTCCGTCTCACCCCAGCCACTGCACGCGGAGGCAACGTCCAACTCGCCCCTCGGTGTACTATGCCGACGGCGACCTGTCATCGTCACATTGACCCCCATACGAACTCGGGCTCCCAAAGGTCTCCTGAATTATTGCCAATAGCCACCCTACCGCGTGCCTGCAACATTGGGGAAAAGCCTGCGTGAGCCAACATGCAGGCCGTAGTGTATGTGTACGTGTAGACTGAGCGGATGACACATTGTGCGCAACACTAGACCCTTGTTCTACACCCCACGATTCGTCGATGCAACTGCACCACCGCTTACACAGCCCTCAGGACTAATCTGCGTCTGGCTTCTGTGTAGTGTAATACAATGTACCTAGCCTACTCACGATGTGCGTCCGTGGTCAATGTCACTGCTGTTGACCAAAATCGATCAATCCATCAAGCTCACTGCGGCTTCATCACGGGACGGAGCACGAGACACGCCGCGAGGCCCAGAGGCTATACAGATATACAGCTAGCTAGCTTTTGACAAGCAAGCCCCACCAGCTTCGTTGGCTGCCCCGTCTCCTGCGCTTAATTTAGCTTGCCCGTCTGTGCCCGCCACAACCAGCCGCCATCGTGACGCCGTCCCTCCCCACGATGCTTCAGCTGGCCTGGGATGGCCATGACTGTGGACCAACTCGGTTTTGCAAGCACGTACGGACGAGTCTTGTGGTCAGCTTTCGCTTCGCCTAACGCGGACGCGCTCCCGACCCCGAAACTCGCACTTTGTCGCGAGACCCCCTGGATGCTGAGATTCAACACCACTTCGACAATTCATCCACCGCTTCTCCTTTCCTGCGCCTACGCTGATGCCCAACCTCTTGAGTCAGCCCCACGACCAGGTCAAAATCGAGGCTGCGCCACCCATTTGACTCGCTGTAATCGCGACTAGGACCGCCGAGGCCCCATAGCCTATTGCTTCGTTGTCCCCTGGACACCCAGGACGTGGTTCCTGCAGTTCCGACTCGGCAGGGCTCTTTTTGGGACTCGGGGGCCTGGTCTGGATACTCATGCTGCCCTGGCCGTCTGTCTGGCTCTCTGCACTTGGCGCAGAAATCCCCATCCACTGCTCAAGTACCATCTTGTAAATCCTCCATACGCATCATCGACGGCTGTGGAGCCTTCTTCCACTCGCTTTGCGGCTTGACAACTCGGGGTGGCGCAGCAAAGTTTCTGAACGACTGCGAACTGCCCAGCTCTTCCGACTTAAGACGTTTGTGTCTCTCGGCCTTGCATCAAGGGAGGTAGGCATGCCCAGAGAGACTTTTTTTCTTTTCTTTTTTTTTTCCTTTTCTTTTTCTGGATTCTCAATGTTTCCCGTTTGCGCGGTGCGGCCGTCTTGGCCTGGCATCGCAGCCGTGTGTCAGACGCTGATTCGCTGGATCTACAGAATCACTATGTCCGTCGCCCGGCCCTGGTCCGATTAGCTCTCGGGTATCGAACACATGATATCGTATGGTCATGTTCTTTGTATTCGACAGGGTCTGCCAACTGCTGCTGTAACCCGTTGAGAAGCGCTGCGTCCCGTCTCTACCAATCTGCTTCCGTCCGTTGGCGGCCCAACTCACGCCGCAGAGCCGTGCAGGGCGAACTATCAGGCATCCCGATTCTATCTCGAGACTGAGGAAAGCAACCAGATGGCATCGAAGCTCGCGCCCCGGAACCTGTGGCCTATTGTTCCGCGGCACGGCCGTCGCGCTTAATCGAGTTTGAACCTGCGCCCCAGACCATGCGGCGCTGCATGGCTTTCAACTTCTCCTGCGGGAAACCCGACAACGGCCACACATCTTCTATGCAAAGGGAAAGGCTATCTTGGACTATCAGTCAGTAGTTGGGTGCTGATCAGGGCGACAACGGCCTGCTGCCTTTACTGATTAGTGACTGTCCCTTGATCGGCGTTCATCCGGGCCACTACCCGACGATTGGCAATCGCTGGACCTTGCCGTACATGGCGGGGTCCACGAAATACGATTGAGCGGCATCCTCATATTCGATGCCCAAATCGGGATGGCTCGCGGAATACAGCGGGCTGATACCAGCCAGACCATGCTGCGGACGTGTCCCTGCTTGGGGCTCCTCAACCCTGATTGTCGGGATTGGAAGTCGAATGACCTCGCTGCAGCAAGCAAACGCGACGCCGTTAATCCCAAGCTACACCAAGGCCTTAGTGACTTCATCGTTCGCTTGCTTCGACGAGCAAGCCGCACCAGGCATGCAGTTGTCCGAAGTCGGGAGGCCGTTAGTGGCTTCTTTTCTCGTCCTGTTGACGCCGTGGTGTCTATCGAGCGGTGCATGTCTTGCAACCGGCAGCAGATCTACCTTGAGCTCGTGACTTCTGAGCGTCATCGCTCTCACAGTCCTGCTGATCTCTAAACATCGTCTGTATGCTGCTGCCACTATGGAATGTGCCCGGGCAAGGTCGTAGCAGCAGCACAAACCGCCGATAATGAGATTCACCGCAGACTATCACAGTATCCAGCACGACTGGACCTTTCCTTACGGAGGAGCCCGTCAAAAGAATTATCCTAGAATGCCAAGGCCAGACCCATGTCAAGTGGCAAGGGTATTTGCAGGGGTGCCTACCTAACTTGATTGCGGCCAATATTTTACATCCCTAACAGCACTAAAGTAAGCTAGTTATTTTGGTTAATTTGATGCTTTTGATGGCTGTTATTTGCTATATTTGACCTCTGACTAGTATCTGCTAGCCTGCTGGCCTTCCTTGTATTTGTTACTACTGTCAAGGGCAATGATGGCCTTAATATGGGCTAGTATCTGCTCTATCTAAGCCTGGATTTTCTCCTGAGGTAGCTCTTGCTAGCATTTCTCCTAGGCTTTTACAGCAGCAGCCTGGTTAACTAGTGTGCCCTTCTTTGTTGTAAATTGCTTTATCTAAGGCCAGTAAGGCTCTATAGGGTTAAGGTTAGGGCTATTGTTACACTAGAGCAGCTTCTAGATATTATAGAGGGCGTACGTATAGTGGATATAGTAGTAGTCGTAAGAAGGTGCTTTATCTTCTTAGACTAGAGCGTTAGGTAGGCACTTAAGAGTAATAAACAGGAAGAGCTTTAGTAGAAGAATCTCCTTCTAGTAGTAGTACTAGTTAATTCCTCTATTACCTTTGTAGACTAACTTACTAGTATAGGCGTTTTAGCAAAAAGTTAGTTTATAGCCTAGGATCTACTAGAGCTATAGCTAAGTTATCCTATTCTCTAGTTCTTATTTAAGGCGCTTAACTAGCTCTAACTCCTTGTTTAACTCCTTGACCTTAGCAGTAGCTTCTTGTTGTATTACAGGAGACTTAGGTAACTAACAGTAGTAAAGGCCTTTCTTATTATATATAAAGCAGCCTTAGAACATAAACTTAAAATACCCCTTCTATTAAGCATAAATATATAACTTTATATAGGCCTTATAGGTTTAGCGCTATAGACAGTAGCTACTATAGTAATAAGATAAAACAACAGATGTTTTATTAGACTATATAACCCTTTTTTAATCTTTAAGAGTCTAGTGGTAATAAGCTAGGCACTAAGAAAGCCTTTCTTGCTTTATCTATTAAGATAGGCTAGGTTTCCTTGTTAGCTTAGTCTTTCTAAATCTATATTACTAGAGGATTTAGTAGACTATTAAGGCTAATATATCTATATTAAGCTCCCTTTGTAGCTTACTAGTAATATTAGTATATATCTTTTTTTTACTGTATTAATTATAGTAAACCTTTTGTATAACAAGGTCTACTACTAAAGGTGTTGCCTTCTTTAGCTAGCTAGTCTATAGGGCATTATTAATGTATTTAGGTAGTAACATAAAGGTAGGTGCAGTTAAATCAAAGCCTTGCTTTTTTGCTCAAGAGAGGGTATAGTCAACTGTACGCTTAGGTAACCTAACTATCTCTGTAGTCTCGTTAGCTGTTTTTCCCACGTTACGGCTGCGAAGGGCAAGAATAACTGCCTGTAAAGCCAGGTCAACGTGAGGGGCCATGATAGTTAGAAAGTAGAAAAAGTGGTGTTGTTGTTGTTGTTGTTGTTGTTATGATAATTACTCTTGCTAGGGCCCTAGTCAAGAAAAAGAAAGGTAATAAATCTAGTGGCTCTTATTGGCTGGATTAATGATAAGTGGGTCCGGATCCATGGGTCTGGCCTTGGCATTCTAGGATAATTCTTTTGACGGGCTCCTCCGTACACGTTGCCGTATGGTCATTGGGGCCTATTCGTCAACCATTGCAGTGTTCCCCTCCATTTTAGAACCTGATCATGGCGGCGGCATGTAATCACCGTGGCTTTGCGACCTTGGACTTCTTCCGCGTTGCACGAACACACCTTGGTGTTCGTTGCAATTGTGTCCCGTTCACCAAACGGAAAGACAAATGGTATCTTACGCCACCAATACGCATCTCAAAGCATGCAGTTGCATTGACCTGGATTCGATCAGGCCTCAACGTCGTTTCATCTCCTGTATGGCGATATACTGCGTTATTCCTTGCGTTATCAACTCCCGGCAAGCGTGAATTGGAAAGTGTACCCGCGCTGAGTGCTACGTCGGCAAAACTGGTGGCAACTGATTGGCCCCCCGTCCATTGTCCTGCGGATCCGGATGCAACGTTTTGTGTTTTTCCAATTTTCTAGGCCCTGCCACAGCCTTTCTTGATATGTCTCTGCGGAAGCCATGTATAGTGCCTGGTTCGCAAAGCTGCCTTGGGGGCTGCTTTCTCTTCCTCCCAACCGACTGAGCACCAATCAGGTAGCCATAATTACTGCTCAAGGCAATTGGATCCAGGAGTTGTCCATGTGATGTTTCCCGATATCCACGCCATCCAGACGGTTCGTTGGGGAACGGCCAACCCCGCACTTGAATGCAAGCCACCTACGTCCATTGGCGATGTTGGAGGTCTGCATTTCTGTCGTCCGGTCCTATGGTGGAGCTTCTGTCAAAGAAACGGGCCATCCTCCTCCCAGCGCGGCGGCGGGCTAGGCTCGAGCCGTCCACCAGCAACGGAGCGGCCTGCGGGTTAGGTTTCTGCCATGCCATGCGTGGGGCTACCTACGCTGCTGTCTGCAGGTCGGAGCTGTGTGTCTTGCTCGGGGTCGATGATCGGGTCCGGGGTAGGGAAGTGGATTTTGCTAGGTACCTCGGTCCACTTGAGGATGTACCGAGAGTGCAGGTGATGTGTGCCTGATACGGAGTTGCATTTAAGATGAGCGTGCGAAATGGGATTTAGAGAGCGACTTTTGGCTCTCTCAACGGCGGGAAGATAGCCGCCGAGGACATCGAGATGCACCATCCCCGTCAGTTGACAATGTCTGCCTGCCTTCAGTTTTTTCTTCGGGAGCACCCTA